CAAGACCACGGGTAGGCAACCTTGGCTCTTTTATGACTCATGGACTTCAACTCCCAGAATTCCTGAGCCAGCATGGGAGTTGAAGTCAAGTCATTAAAGAGCCAAGGTTGCCTACCCCTGACCAAGACCAATCTCGCCAACACTGACAGGGCAAGCCACTAGAATATAAACTGAGAGCAAACCCCATTCCTTACTAGTAGCACTGATGATGTTATCTAGTTTGGGTAATGAAATGTCTGCAAGAAAACAACCAAGCTCAGAGAGCACCAAGCACCCCTCATAGTTAAGCCCATTTCATATTAACCTGAAGGCAAACCCATTTTTGAATAATGCCTCAAACTATTCAAACTAAATCTACAAATATACTTGCAAACCGTTACCTACGTTTCCCACCAGTATAAAACTATCACACACAGCCTACTTTTGATTATCAAATGCGTGCACTGCCCATTTTACTAAGTGAATACAAAACAAACAATACTTCTTGAAACGGTGAGAAATTTAGAGTACACCAATCTAGGCAATATTTGTGGCAATCTTCCAATATTTCTTATTTACAACTCTACAAGTTGAGCACAACTAAAAAGACTCAATAAAAGCCAATACACATTGAAAGGAGATGCCAGCACCCATAAGGATGATCGTTTTTTAAACGAAGGTGCCTTTCATATATTTAAAAATATACATTTTAGGTTAGAATGATTAAAATCAGAGTTTAGTGGAATGCGAACATGAACAACTTAAAAAGCATATGTTTAACATAGGCTCACCGCACATCTTTCTCCAATTAGGGGCTAAATGTCCCTAGTAGTTTCTTCTACTTTCAACTGTTGTCCCTGCAACGCAAAGCCTCCGCCGGACTCAAGAGATGCACCTGAGCATCCGCCTAAAGCAGGGGTAGTCAACCTTGGCTCTTTTATGACTCGTGGACTTCAACTCCCAGAATTCCTGAGCCAGCACAGCTGGCTCAGGAATTCTGGGAGTTGAAGTCCACGAAGGTTGACTACCCCTGGCCTAAAGCAATGTTTCTCAACCTTGACAATTTTAAGGCATGTGGACTTCAACTCCCAGAATTCCACAGCCAGCATTGCTGGCTGTGGAATTCTGGGAGTTGAAGTCCACATGCCTTAAAATTGGCAAGGTTGAGAAACACTGGCCTANATAGGATCCTGATAATTATGTAAAGTCTGTTTTATAAAGAGCTAATTTAATAAGTTCACAAGGGTTTTTTCCTTTGCTATTTCACTTAAATAAATTATAAAAAGTGATATAATCTTAAGAATAATCTGAAAATGTTTCCTATAAATTGATTCAGAAAAAAGAAAATCTGTAATGAGGAATACTAAAAACAACTGAGGTGCTGATTTTTTTAAAAGAAAAACAAACATATCTGACAAAGAAGTATGAATATGCACAGAACTGAAGGAAAAGAGAATTACTCTGGAAACACAAACCAGTTGAGATTCCACTATATATTCATTTTTAAAATACAATACTAGAAAAGTGCAAACATTTGAGAATCTAAAACATACTTTTTCAACTAGACTCAATTTATTCAAAATATAAGTTAAATAATCATCAAAGAGGATTCCAAAATATCTATGCAGAATTAACAGAGGTTAAATAAAGATTATTAAAACCTAAGAACGTAACAACAGTGATAATGAAGAGGGATAACAATGTGATTAGTATTGATACTATGTTTGCACAAGGTTTCAGTTCTAAGATGGTATTTATGTATTTATTTATGAGGCAAAAATGCCTGCTTGTCTTAAGAGCAATAACTGTGGGCAGTTCACTCCAACAGCAATAAAAAGATAAAAGAAGCAATGAAAACCAGAATCCACAAAACAGCTCTTTGGCACCCTAAGCAGTCCTCCCTAATACACAAACAGTCAGAATCCCAGGGCTCCAGCCTTACCTCATCACAATGCTTGGGAGAAAAGCCAGTTTTTTAAAGCTTTTTCGAAGGTCAAAGTGATAGGAACTGTGTGGATCTTAGTGCCTGGCAAGAAATATTTGTTCCTGTTACCAGAAAAGTAGCTGAAGTGAAGCTATTTTTCTTGGCTGAAAGGTGAAAAACAGATCTTTTTCTCTGCAAGCTATCCAAAACCCCATTTAAGAGTATAAGCTGGTGCAGATAAAACAACTACCACATCCCACTACTCCCATTATTCTAGATTTTAAGCCATCTAAATTAATAAAAAGGTCATGAAATCTTGAAAGTTAACCTATAAAAGATTTCTGGAAATTTTCCCCAATATTCAACTGGTCTGCTTTTTGTTATATATGTTAAAATGCATTCAACCTAATTGGCAATAACATTTACTTGAGAGGATGCAGTACCTATCTAAATAAGAATTAGCAGTTGATTACAAGTTTGAAGATTTAACAAATTTGTTTATTCTTACTTAAGAAACTCAGAAGGTCAGTCTCAAGCTCAAAAACTGAAGAATTCCTGGCAAGCCGTGAAAGTCAAATACTTTACTGACAGATAAAGTTTTGGATTTGGGACAAGATAACACATAGTTTACAGCAAATGTAAACTGTATGTCTAATTATAAGAAACAGACTATATCTATCTCCAACTTCACTAGCCACTTCTACTAAAATGAAACTGCATTTGCAATAATGATCCCCAAATCATTGAGTTCCCAGATATACAGAAAAATAAATATAGGACAGTTCTTGAGGTAATTACAGCCACAATTTCATTTCTATTGGTTTACAGTAGTGAAAGTATGGTCACTTAGCAAATAAGTAATTGCCTGGTGTAATTACTAAATTAGCTAAGCTCATAAAGCATAATATTTGTAGCTCAGGGTTGAAATAAGGGGACCTTGGTGCTTTCTGAGCTTGGCTGTTTTCTGGCAGACATTTCCTTACCCAAACTGGGATAGCAAAAGACTAGCAAAATGCATCCATGAACACCAAAAACACAACCTATGAACAGACTTAACCACAGTTTCAACAGGGAAACTGTGACCATCCTAGACCAAGCCAAGTCCAGAAATGCTAGAGAATTCCTTGTAAGCTTGGCTCTCTGAAACATTGGCCATCACAGGCACATAGAAATAGACAACATCTACACATCATTCAAAAGAGACAAGGCAAAAATGACCAGAACACAACCTCATTAGTAACCAACATCCAGATGAGAATAGATTAACATCAGAACTGCAATCAAGAAGTAAACAATATCCCAATCAAGAAACTGTCAAACAAGGTAATAATAAACAGTCCAACCAAAGAATCACCAAGACCACGAGTAGGCATTTTACTGCTTTCATTCATAAGTAAACGTATACATTCCTCTCCACACTTATATTCACCAATTCTACTCAGTAAGATCAGATGGCTTTCCACTTTGACTGAGATCTGTTACATCCTTTTTCTTTTTTCTTTTTCATAGTTCCATGGACATCAATATTACTTTAGGTGTTTTTATTTCATTGGTTAACTCATGTTTTTTGTTTTACCATTTACTCCTCTTACATTCCAATCTTACCATGGTTGTCATTATATAGACCCATAGATAGTAATCTCTGTCACTGAAACCACATAAATAATATACCTGCAATAAATATTGAGGTAGTATAAATATCCATCCAAGAAACAGATGTCATGCTTCAAAGGCCCTTCTGAATAGAACAGGGATAGGCAACCTTGGCTCTTTTATGACTCGTGGACTTCAACTCCCAGAATTCCTGAGCCAGCATGGGAGTTGAAGTCAAGTCATTAAAGAGCCAAGGTTGCCTACCCCTGGCCAAGACCAATCTCGCCAACACTGACAGGGCAAGCCACTAGAATATAAACTGAGAGCAAACCCCATTCCTTACTAGTAGCACTGATGATGTTACCTAGTTTGGGTAATGAAATGTCTGCAAGAAAAAAACCAAGCTCAGAGAGCACCAAGCACCCCTCATATAGTTAAGCCCATTTCACATTAACCTGAAGGCAAACCCATTTTTGAATAATGCCTCAAACTATTCAAACTAAATCTACAAATATACTCGCAAACTGTTACCTAAGTTTCCCACCAGTATAAAACCATCACACACAGCCTATTTTTTTTTTATTATCAAATGCGTACGCTGCCCATTTTACTAAGTGAATACAAAACAAACAATACTTCTTGAAACGGTGAGAAATTTAGAGTACACCAATCTAGGCAATATTTGTGGCAATCTTCCAATATTTCTTATTTACAAATCTACAAGTTGAACACCACTAAAAGACTCAATAAAAGCCAATACAAATTGAAAGGATGATCGTCAGCATCCTATAAGGACGATCGTTTTTTAAACGAAGGTGCCTTTCATATATTTTAAAATATATATTTTAGGTTAGAATGATTAAAATCACAGTTTAGTGGAATACCAACGTGAACAACTTAACATAGGCTCACCGCACATCTTTCTCCAATTAGGGGCTAAATGTCCCTAGTAGTTTCTTCTACTTTCAACTGTTGTCCCTGCAACGCAAAGCCTCCGCAGGACTCAACCTGAGCATCCGCCTAAAGCAGGGGTAGTCAACCTTGGCTCTTTTATGACTCCTGGACTTCAACTCCCAGAATTCCTGAGCCAGCAAAGCTGGCTCAGGAATTCTGGGAGTTGAAGTCCACGAGTCATAAAAGAGCCAAGGTTGACTACCCCTGGCCTAAAGCAATGTTTCTCAACCTTGACAATTTTAAGGCATGTGGACTTCAACTCCCAGAATTCCACAGCCAGCAATGCTGGCTGTGGAATTCTGGGAGTTGAAGTCCACATGCCTTAAAATTGTCAAGGTTGAGAAACACTGGCCTAAAGCAACGTCTACCCCTTCCCATCCCACCGTTTACTTTACAAGCTCACGAGAGCCGCTCTTTTAAAAAGAAAACCAGCTATGTGGGTTCGGCTTTCGGTGAAAAAAGCCGCTTTATCTGTTTCGGGTCCCCCTCCCCCCCCGGGCCTCTTTCCCCCCCCCGGGCCTCTTTTCTCTTTCCTTTCCCGGGCACTCACTTTCCCTCCTGGCAGTCGTAGAGGACGATGGAGTCGTCGTCGCTGCTGGAGATGACGGTCTCGCCATTAGGGCTGAAATCGAAGCAGTTGATCTTGTCCGAGTTCTCGCGGAACACCTTGGCCACGCGGAAGCTCCGCAGCACGTTGTCCGTCAGCTTCATGCCGCCTCCGCCGTCGCGGGGAAAGGCAGCCGGCGGGGCCTGGGCGCCGGCCAAGGCGAGGGGGAAAGCGGAGTCGGGCAGGGCTTGAGACTCTGCGAGGGGGGGGGGACGGGAACGGGAATGGCGGGAGAAGAATGCCGGAGCCGGCGAAGGACCGAAGCGACTTTGCCCTCGGGCGGATTCCGCTCAAGCTGCGGGAAGAAGGCGGCGGCAACTCCGGCTCATTGTGTCCGCCATTTTGCGGCTTTAGGGCGGCGGGGAGAGGGGTGGAGGTGTCGGCACGGGTGGAATTGTGGGGCCTGCGGAGGAAATAGAAGTGACGAAAAGGAACAGCAACGGCGACGCTACCGGTCTGGTGCATGCCGGGATACGTGAGTAAGGCCGAGGCAAGCGAGTAGTAGTTTAGCGCGGGGCAAGAGAGGCAAGCGAGTAGTAGTTTAGCGCGGGGCAAGAGAGGCAAGCGAGTAGTAGTTTAGCGCGGGGCAAGAGAGGCAAGCGTGTAGTAGTTTAGCGCGGGGCAAGAGAGGCAAGCGTGTAGTAGTTTAGCGCGGGGAAAGAGGCAAGCGAGTAGTAGTTTAGCGCGGGGCAAGAGA